GGTGCTAAAAGCACTGAATGACTAATACCAGCGATGTCACAAGGAATCCTGAGCACCTACCTCACTGAGAAGGCCCAGAGGACCCTTTTAAAAGAACCTGTTCCAAAGGGCGAGGAGAAGCCACATTCACATTATAAAATCTAGTGAATGTGCTTGAAGAAGACCATGATGCCGCAGCACATATTGTTTCCAGTGGGACCCCTTTCAGGRCTGCCCAGGAAGTGGAAATGCTCCTGGTTGAGCTAATAAAAATGCTGTCTTACATGAGAGCCACTTGAGGTCAGCCTGAAGCAAAGGCTCGAAGGGAGGGTGGTGCAGGGCTTCGAGGACCAAGGGCAGATCCCTAGCAGGTGCCCACAGAACTGTTGGYGGGTGCAACCTGCGAGCGCCACGCAGAAAAAGAGAAACCAGGTTATGGCTTCCAACTGTACCACCATCAACGACAGCGTGATTAGATGATATTGCCGCCACATATACTGTTATGGACTAATTATCTATCTGTTTCACCTTGACACTGTCCAGTACTCATATATCTTATCATCATTGTCAAATCTGTTTGCCCAGACGTCAAGACTCCGCAACGGACTGACCTCTCTTGTTTCATATGAAACTCTTTGAGCTGAGAGCCCTGTGATTGGCCGGGCAGTACATTCGTCGATCTGTGATTGGTTATAAGCACATCATTTGATGTTATCATGGTGTATATTATTGGCTGCTTTCCGCTGACGTGTCAGCCACAAGCCGACAGAGTTTCCTGATTGAGTTCTGTTCGTTTGTCGCTCAGAATTGAATCATTATTGACCACCATACACGCAGACTTTCTGTGCATTATTCCAACGTGTTTCTGCATTCTTGGTAAATCATGCGACGACATTTACCTTAAGTGTTGATGGAGAGCGGCCTTTATTGAGGAGAGATTGAAGAAACTCCAGGATAGTGGGCACCACACAGGAGACTGGATCCTCATCSCGGTCAGCACACCACTGAGAAAACAAACGCCACCTGTTTTCATATTGCTGATGAGTAGAATGTGCCCTAGCACTTAAAATAGTGTACCTGACAGAGTCYGAATATCCAGTCAGCTGCTGCTCAAGCCTCCCAGTGGCCACACCCACAGCCTGAGGCGTTGAGGATTGGGGTGCCAGATCAGTCCCCCCAACTGAGACAATAGGCCCCTCCTGGTTGGAAGACACCATGGGRCGTCTTGACACAGACTCCGTTGAAGTGGGAACCATGGTCGTGCTGGCCAATATGGAGCTATCAGCAGCACTCTGTGGCCCTTTTCGAGAACTCTCTGAAGGGTTGGCCAAATCAGAGAAAGGGGTGGAAAGGCATATAGAAGGACTCTTGGCCAGGGATGTGCCAAGGCGTCCTGGCCCAGTGCGCCTGATGCCCCCGTAAGGGAATATCACAGAGGGCAATGAGTCGACTCTTCTGTGGCAAACAGGTCTACTTCTGCCTGACCGTAGAGATCCCATATCATGCGCACTATGTCGCTGTGGAGAGACCACTCTCCTGGAGCAGGTGCCTGC